ACTTTGGAGGATGTTTGTTTGCTTGGTTTTTTAGCGCTGAGGACAAACTTAGGGCCTGTGCATGCTAGGCCAGTACTCTACCACTGAGCTACAGCCCCTTTATTTTTCTTTTGAAGCAAGTTCTCACTGAACTGCCGAGGCTAGGTGCAAACTTTCGATCCTCCTACCTCAGCCTCCGGAGTAGCTGAGATTACAGACATGCATCGCTGCCACGCCTGGCTCTGAAAGACCTAAGGTAGAAGAAAAAAGTCAACATACTTAGTTACATAAATTACTTACATAGGTCAGAAAGGAACTAACACTATGGGAAAACACTTGAAATCCATGCCAGGTGACAAGTTAGTATCCATGTTATACAAAGAACACTTACAAATTGATAAGAAACAGGCAAAAAATCCCTTGGAATAAAGGAAAGTGTTTTATATGCAATTCCATCTACAAGTGAGAAGTGTGAAGAACCCACAGCAGTGCTGTCAGTGATTTCCCGAAGAAAGAAAGTCAATGAGGGAACTGAAATAAACAGACCGTCAAAGAAGTCCGTGGGCCGGGGATTTAAGCTCTGGCACCGCGCCTGCCTCACAAGCTGAAGGTCCCCGGTTCGATCCCCAGTACAAAAACAAACAAACAAAAAAAGTAGCACAAATGGGCAGTAAGTGTGTGAAACATGTCCAGCATCACCGGCCTTTATAGAAATGTGAATTAAAATGACACTGAGATCCCATGTCATCCAGGAAGGGTGGCCACCATCAAGAACTCAATAATAAATTCTGGTGAGACTTCAAGGGAAAAGGAGCCCTTCTGCACTGCTCGTGGGAATGGAAACTGGTACAACCACCACGGAAATCCGTACGGAGATTCCTCAAAACACTAAAGCTAGAAATTCCATTCATCCCAGCTATTGCCCCTTCTAGGGATCTTCCTGAAAGTCAAAGACATCATGTTACAGGGATACGTGCGTGCCTGTGTTTACAGCAGCACGACTCATGATAGCTACGTCTTGCAAGGGGCCAATAAATCCAACAACAGCGGAACGGAGAAAGGGCAGGGGATTTAGCTCCGTTGCACCGCGCCCACCTCGCAAGTGCAAGGTCGTGAGTTCAATCCCTGATAACAAAACAGAAAAATTGCTATTAAAAAAAATGTGGCATTTACACAAAACAGAGTAGTACTCTGCCACAAAGATAAGCGAGTCATTTGTACAAAAACAGATGCACCTTGAGACCATGATATTAAGTGAAATAAACCAGACACACAAGCTTCAATATCGCATGCTTTCGCTAACCCTGCCCAGTGCCCTGCTGTTACTCACCCTCCCTTTCATACCTGACCTGTTTCTTTCTTCCCTGCCTTTCTTTTCTGTACAGATGTTCCTCCATTAATAAATCCTGGGGTCATTTAGAACGTCAGCATTGTAAGCCAGGCAGGATCTTGCACCTTTGTAATCCTGGCTACTCAGAAGGCTGAGGCAGGAGGGCCTCATCTTGAGACCAGCCTGGGACTCTTAGGGAGACCCTGCCTTAAATTAAAGAGGATGGGGGGTGGGGATTTAGCCCAGTGGTTCCACCTCCTGCCTCCCAAGTGAAAGATCCTGAGTTTGATCCCTGGTATTAAAAAATAAAAATAAGAAGTGGGGACGTAGCTTAGTGCTTAGCATGTGCCAGAACCACACACACACACACAAGTCAAGATTTTAAGGTCCAGGACTGCAGTCTGCTTTGAATTGCTGTGTGCCCAGCGCCTAGCCACACCCAGCCCCAGGGCTCTGTGAGTTTTCCCAGTGAGCCTGGTCCTGGCTCTGGGTCCCCATGTCCCACGCAGAAAGGATCTGGGCCCAGCTCTCCTCTCCCTGCCCCTGCGGCTGAGAGCTGGTAGCAGAAGCTCTGTTGTTTCGTATCCCTGGATCCTTGGACCCTGGAGGGCCCAGACTGGCACTGTCCCGCCATGAAGTGGCCTCCTGTGCAGAGATGCCTGCCCAGGCAGCAACTCAGGAGGCTGAGGCAGGAGGACCTGCAGCAAGGTGACTTCGGAAGGTGGTAAGCGGCCCATGCCCAGGTGTGCCAGCGGAGCAGGAGACGAAGAGAGAGCGAGACTCCTGGCCCCGCTAAGACCACCTCCTATCCCCGTGGGTTCTGTGACAAGCCGCGGAGCCCGCATGCAGCCCGTGTCATCTGCTTTCCTTTCCTGTCGGCCTCAAACAGCCTGCGCTGCGGGGCTGAGCTCCATGGGCCCAGGTCACGTTCTTATTTCCCTGCAGCCACCCAGGGCTCTCAACAACAGTAGCACTCTTGCCTGTGGTCCCTGCCCTCGGAGGCTGAGGCAGGAGGATCACTGAAGATTTGAGGCCAGCCTGGACTACACAGTGAGACCCTGTCTCTAAATAAATAAATATACCATGGGCCAGGGATTTAGCTTAATGGTGCCACCATCTGCTTCACAAGCACAAGGACCCAAGTTTGATCCCCAGTACCAAAAATAATAACAATAATAATAATAACCATCAACATTGAGAAGGCCCAGTGGGCCACGCTGCAGTCACACATGGGTGGGGACTCAGTGCCTTGGGCAGGACAGTGGCCGGGCCACGTGGACCAGCAACTCAAAGCCAGCAGAGACTGGTAACCCAAGGTGTGCTCAGCCCCACTGGGCCTGCCAGGCCTGGCCGGGACGCCGAGCTGCGACAGACCCTCTCTGTCTCCTCCGCACCACTGAGGCTCACCAGCAGGGCCTGCGGGAAAGCCCTTCCGGGGCATGGCCTCAGCCTCACCGTGTGGCATGCAGGTTAGCATCACTGCCGCCTGGAGGACACTTGCTGTGTGGCAGGCACCAGGCGAAGGACTGCGTGTGCTGTCTCAAAAAAGTAGAAAGGTTGGCCACACGCCTGGGCGAGCTGTGAGGCACACTGGGAACACCTGGCCCGGCCCATGATAGGGACCGGTGTTTATCAGCGTCATCCTCACTGATGGCGGCAGAGCTTCATCTTCTGAAAGTGAATTTAATTTTTTTTTTTTCCAAGACAGGATCTCCCTGCGTAACCCAGGCTGGGCTCAGACTTGTGGCGATCCTCCTGCCTCAGCCTCCTCAGTGCTGGGATCACAAGCATGTACCATGACACCTGGCAGGAATTTAATTTTAGAAAGCAACAAAAATTCCTCATGGAGGAGTTGATCCTGTAATGCGGGTGACAGGGTTGAGAAATATCATTCTGAGTCCAAAACAAGGTGTAATTACACAGCCTGGAGCCTGTTCTTCTTGTGTCACGGATACCACCGGAGTAGAAAGCAAGGCGCTGGAGATGACCTGAGTTCCTGATCCGAATCTGATCCCCAGTCAGACTCCCCCTTTACCCCATCTTTGTCTCTCTCCCCCAAGTCACTGACCCCAGCCCGGGTTTCCCGCCTCACCTCTGCCCCTTTTTCCTGAGCTCCCCTCCAATCCTTTCTGCTCCTACCGACAGCGTGGCCACGCCAGTTTGCAGAGGATTAAAGCAAACAATCACCTGCTAAGCGACCAAGCTGTCCTCAGAGGTCACGAGTGGAGATATTTAACGTCTCAGAACTTAAAACTGTTTTTATTAAGTGCTTTTCTGAAATTCTAATTCTTGTGCTGGGATTACTGGCATGCACCACCACACCTGGCCCTTATTAATATTTTTGGAAAAGATATATGTTTGCAAAATAGCATCCAATTCCCTACTGGTTGCCAATATAAAACATCATAAACTAAACACCTATAGTCCATCCCAACAACTCAGGAGGATGAGACAGGAGGATCTCTTGAGCTCAAGACCATTCTGGGCAATTTAGTGAGATCCTGTCTCAAAAATAATAACCAAGGGCCAGGGATTTAGCACAGTGGCACTACACCTATCTTGCAAGTGCAAGGTCCTGAGTTCAATCCCCAGTACCAAAATTAATAATAACAACAACAAATTGCTACCAGACTACCCATGTCACAGGGAGATCTACATACCCGGAAATGTAATAGTCCTATGAGTTGTTTATACTGTCAAGTGCCGCTGGGCTACTGCGTGTGCTGTTGAATTCAACAGCCACCCCTCACTACAGCCCAACTCCCAATGCTTCACGCCTGTAATCCCTGCCGTCTTAGGAGGCTGAGGCAGGAGGATCACCAGTTAAAGCCCAGCCTGGGCAGTTTAATGACATAGCAGACCCTGTCTCAAAATAAAAAGGGCTGGCAGGTAGCTTAGTGTGAAGGCCCTGGGTTCCATCTCCAGTGCCGAAGTCCTTGTGCTGTTCTCAGAGAGGACACAGTGGCCACAGGAGGACAGATAACAGAAGCCAGGTGGTGGCATGGACAGCTAGCTGTGTGCTCTCTAGCCCTGGGGTTCACACTGAGCTACATCCCCAGCTTTTTTTATATTTAGCCTCCTACTAAGTTGCTAAATTGTCCAGGCTGGGCTCAAACTCCTGCCTCAGCCTCCTAGAGGGCCTGCGTGCCACAACACCGGGCTCCAGTTATCTTTTTAATGAGAAATCGAGAGAAACCCAGGGTCCAGGCCGATGTTTTCCCCACGGGCCACAGCCAAGTTCCCAGGGGTCCGCTGACCCAAAGCTCCT